AAGCCGCTGCCTTTGAGTCGCTTCACGAGGCCTTTGATCATGCTCAAAAGCTCGTCGGTGAACGGACGCTGCTTCTCTACGCCGTTCTGGGCGTTGCGGACCTTGGCAGCGGCGACCACGCGCATGGCATCGGTGAGCTTGGCGGTCTTCGCCACAGATGCGATTCGATCCTTCATCGCCTTGTCCACCGCGCAGCGAGTCATCAGGGACTCGCGGGGCTGAACCGACACACCGCTCACGAAGTCCTCCTCATGTCTCCAGAGGCAGCTCCAGGCAGCCACAAGGGCCAGGCCGACGGCCACCGTGGCGCCAAAGGATCCCCGCTTGGATGTCATGGTCTTCTGCTAAACACAAGCACCTAAGGACCTAATCCCTGAGCCCTCGGCAGATGTCACAAGAGAGCGCAGCAACGTGCACAGCCGGCCAAGGGTCGGCATCTCTAACTCCGCCGCGCTTTCATGGCATGAAGTCCACAGCGACTGCCTTCTGCTGCTGGGCACGGAAGGCTTGGTAGCGCTCTTGTGCCAGCACCTCGGCCAGAGACGCGGCTGCTGCTGGTACACGGTACAATACAACTTCGGCTAACAAGTACCAGTATAAAAACAGTCATACTCTTCATGTTCATGTTAAGTGACGTCCGTGATCAACAAGAACTGGAACAACGAGAACAACCACAGACAGAAAACGAGAACAATGCCGATGGTGATGACATGTGGTGAATGTGCCTGGGGTCCGGGCTAAACGCTCCGCACCCCTGGCCTCGACTTTGCCAGCCTCGCGCTGCAGCTCCTGGCAGGGGGGGCTCCAATGACTTTGCTGCTTGCAGCCTGGGCCCCTGGCACCGTGAAACTTGGAATGAAAAACCCGTTCAGTGAAGACGAAGGCTTCGAAGAGCGTGTTTCGTGTGCGACGCAGGGAATGGATATGCCACTCTCTATTGAACGCACATGATCGACGTATATAGGCAGTGGTACATCGGGCCTTCGCCTTCCAGGCAGTCTGGACAGCCTCCCGCTCGAGGCCGTTGCCACCGGGCGGTGGTATTGGATGCGCCTTCCTTTGCATCCATGATGGCGGTCTGGAGTCAACACAAACCGAAGGGGATGAGCAAGAAGATTGAAATGATAAGGCCACATGTTCCACTTCAAGACGAAACAGTAACAAAGTTGCAGCAGTGCCAGCAGCAACAACGGCAAGGCAGCAGTGGCGGCAGCAGCAGCAACAACAACAACAACAACAACAACGGCAGCAACAACAAAAGCAAAAGCAACACACATACACAGACAGTGACGCAAACAGACAGCCGCCACGACGACAACGGCACACAGCATCAGCGGTGGCAGCTGCAGCAGCCGACGCATCCAGAGCGACAACAACTACGACAACCAAGAAGACAAAACAAGAATCGAAAGCAGAGCATGAAGAAGCCTACATGGCCAGTCCACCACAACAACAAAGATGACACGAAACAGGGAGCGAGGAAGAGACGCAGACAGGCTTGATCCTTGTTTCCATGATGTCGCACTTCTCACGTCGTCTTTGCATTAGAGTGTGTCGACTTGCCAGGCCAGGCTATGACCTTGAAACCCTCTGTTAGCGAAAACATTGATAAGACTGATGCTCTTGATGACGTGTCATGAGAATACAAACTGTAATCATCTCACTGTTGGCAGCAAATTGCAGGGTCATGATGTCGTATTTTGAAATGTTGCCGATTTTTGCAATGCTTATGTTTGCCAGCAGCAGTATATGCAGAATGCTCGCCAAGGTACACTGGTGAAGTCATGACGCCGCGGGCCAGGACGCTGAGCCGAAATGCGACAATAAAGATAGGCTCCGAAAACAACGGTAATAAGAATCCATTGGAAGCATTTCTGCCGTTATTAGCCGATGTCTTGCCATCGATGCCTATCCCTGCCTCTTCCTAGCACCAACCTTTGCGTTATTGCTGCTGTTCCCTATCTTGCTCTTCTCGAAGTACTAGCTGCTACTGCTGCGGCTCTTGGCACTGTCCGTTGAGGCACAAATGCTGCTCTTGTTCTCTCGTCTCTTCCTGTGTTGAGCAGAATGCTTGTGCTCGCAGCCACAACTACCGGCTGGCTGTTGTCATCGCGTGGCTTGCTTTCAAGTGCTGTGACAGTGTGGCGAATATGCACATGTTGGATGACTCACAGGCCTCACTGTTGCAGCTGTGTGAATACACTAATCACTATTTCCATGCAAGATGCAACCGGGCAACCTAATCTGAAATCCCGAGGCAAAGTGCGCACATGGGCACACCGAAAGCGGCCTCTGAGCGGAGCTTCTGCACCTCCTGCAGGAACTGTGCAGCCAATGACACATCTGACGGCGCCCTAGCCTTGCCGTGTTGGAGCATTTTCTTAAGATGTGTGGCGACTGAGGCAAGGATCTGCTACATGTCTGGGCGCAACCCAGAAACAACCCTTTGCCTCTCGTCAAGTGGATGTAAGTGCCCCATGCCGGTGCTTCACGGCAAAGAGCTGGCAAGAGCAACGATAGCTAAGAGAAGGTGGCCGCGCCAAGGATCTTGGCATGGCTATAGATATAGAATCATCTGTACAGTCGGCAGTGTCGGAAGAACAGCGAAGACTGAACCAAATCCACGATGGAGCCATGTTCGCGAAATGCCAGGGTCTTCCAGAGAGAAGCATGACCAGTATTATGGTCTGGTTGTTGTACAGGGCATTATGAAAACTTTGTCAATCAGGCCTCACTCTCTCCGAGAAGAAAGCTGCACAAGTTCCGTCGGGACAGCCGCTGCACGGGCTGTCTCAGACATGAACCTCCCTGGCAACCTACTCAGGCTCCGCTGCATGCATGGAATCACAACAGTCTCAGTCCTCGCCCAACCGAAATGGCTCTAGAAGCCTGCTGGCTTCCAATATGTATACATGTATGATTTTGGTTATATACTAAAAAATATACACATATAAATGAAGCAATTAATAAATATAGAAAAATATATATGTGCATCCTAATTGTCAGCACACTTGGCAGGACTCGCTGCTGCGAGCATGAATTCAACGAAGCGCGTGGGCAGACCTGCATTTGGCACTGAGCTGGGAGAGTGTCTTTGGCAACGCGCCTAGACACAGGAAACAGCCAGGCCAAATGCCTTTCTCGAAATGCTCAGATTCACACGGCTTTTGAATGGCAATCGGGCACTCGGTAGGACTCATGGAATATGATCAAACGGCAGCAACAAAAGGGTCCTTCTCCCTCAAGGCGAGGGAGAAGGTAGCTGCTGGGAGGCTTGGGCTCAGATCAAACTGGACCAGTTCCACCTAAGATGCGCTGCGGGATGCATGCAGGAAAATGCCATTTAATGACCATCACCCTACCCATAGCTCCAAGCCCGGATGAAGCACCCTAGATTTATGTACGGCCGCTACAAGGCGAAGTTGCCTGAGAAAAGGAACACTATAGAGCAGTGACAAACCACCCTCGACTCTGACAACATTAGGAATGAGATCACCCCAATAACGATCGGGAAGACAGCAAGTTATGAGGATAAAATCGGATAAACACCGATACAACTGGTGGATAAATGGGTGACCATGCCCAACGTCTGATTTAATGGCACGCATTTGGAATTTGGAAGTATATGAGCTCTACAATCCAAAAACAAAAATTAAAATGACGATGATGGTGACTATCATTCGAGCGGCTGCAGCAGCAACAAAAACAGAAATTGCTACTTGTTACCACTGCTGTAACGCTCCTACTCCGACTCCCACAACCACCACCACGGCCACGACTCAAGGACAGTAACTGCTGCTGCCACTACTCTGCGACTGCAACTGCGACTGCGACTGCTGCTGCTGCTACTACTGCTACTACTCCTCCTACTACCAGTACTACTACTACTACTACTACTACTACTACTACTACTCCTGCTGCTGCTGCTGCTGCTGCTGCTGCTGCTGCTGCTGCTGCTGCTGCTGCTGCTGCTACTGCTACTGCTACGACTACTACTACTACTACTACTACTACTACTGCTACTACTACTACTACTACTACTACTACCACTGCTACTGCTACTGTGCTACTGCTACTACTACTACTACTACTACTGCTACTACTACTACTACTACTACTACTGCTACTGCTACTACTACGGCTACGACTACGACGACGACGACTACTACTACTACTACTGCACTGCTGCTGCTGCTGCTGCTGCTGCTACTGACACTGCTACCGCCATTGCTGCTGCTACTGCGGCTGCGGCTGCTACTGCTGCTGCTTCTGCTGCTGCTGCGACTACCACTATCACTACTACTGTTATTACTACTAATAAACCGCTACTGCTACCGCTACTGCTACTACTACTACTACTACTACTACTGCTACTGCTACCGCTACTGCTACTGCTACTGCTACTGCTACTGCTACTGCTACTACTACTACAACTACAACTACAA